AACTCAAATTAAAAGTTTTACTATGCTTCTTTAGATGTGCTGCTGTGTTTTTCTGCAGGTGTCTGAAGTCAGTCAGCTGGTGTGTATGCAGCAGGCAGGATGCTCTGGAGTGGACATTGGTCTTAAAGAGTCCGAGACTATTTGCCGCAACAGCAGGGCACTGCTGCACTGACTCAGCACATCTTTGTGTTTATAGACTGCTGCAAATTTCACGTCCTGATTGCTGCAGATACAAGACTCAGTGGTTCAGATCAGCCTGGCAGAATGTTAGTAATGTCTCTCTGTGGCACACACACAGGCTTTTGAGATGATGCACAGCAGCTGACTGCGAGGAGCAAGAATCTCAGGGGCTTCTCAGGAAAACACTTTTTGTTTTCAGCAGAGCTACTGACAGATGTCCTGCTAGAAAATACCAGGCAGTGTAGAATAGAGTTAAAAATTCAAAAACTAAAAGACCACCCTGTAATGTCCACAGCTTCCTCCCGGCTCTGTAGCTGTTTGGATGACCATAGAAAAAATGACAGCAGCAATATCTAACAGAGTTCACAGTATTTTCTGTTTTACAGCCTATTTAATGAGTTTCGATGCTTTGTTGCTGTACTTGAATATGACAACACTGTGATTTTACTATCTGCTATTACTGATTTAAATGTCAGTAGCTGATCTCACAGCTGAGAGAGATGCTGGTGGTTCGTTTAGCCAAGTGTTTGTTTTGTTTTGTTTTACTTGCAAATTGCAAAGTATGTCCTTTTGGATGCTTTAATATCCTTTATGCGGCTTATTGGTGTTATTGCATTTTAGTAAAAATTCTGATGTATTGTTGGACAGTTGGGCTGCAGGGTGGCACAGTTGGTAGCACTGTTGCCTCNCCAGCCACGCCCCTTGCCCCGCAAAATTTTGATGATTTTTTAAAAATTCAGTATTTATTTATTTTCAGATTGGCCACCTGATCTCTGGATTTCACTATGAAAACTAATAAGAAAAAATGTTTCGTGATCTGCAATCACTTCTTCACTTCCAATTCAAGTCTATGGGAGCCAAGGCTTTTTGGAGCCAGGACTAGCAGACGTAGTGATATTGCAGGTTTTTGACACTTCCAGGTTGGCTTCATTTTTCAGGGTCGGTTGCTACGTCCATCTTTTATACAGTCTGTGATCTCAACCCAAAATGTTCTCAAACAGGGCAAATGAGTGACGGTTAAAGCTGTGTTAACAGTGCAGAATCAGTGGTTCAGAGTATATTGGCATGTTAAGTACCCGGTAGCTCTGTGTGTTCTGTAGCATTTATGACAAAAATAAAAATTCACATGATTAATCTGTGAGGCACATTGGCCATGCTACATGAAAGTGACAAGTCAGCACTGTTCATCAAAACATGTCGTCTGTACAAGCAGCAGGATGAAGCTCTAAATCCTTGTCTGAACTGCTTTAAGTCCCTTATGTAACAGAGCACATGTGGGCATAGACTCTATCTGACTGGCAAGCCAAGTGGCTGCGCATCTAAAAACACGTCAGTCCCCTGATGTCGGGCTGCAGGTCACATTTAACAAACGCTGGTTTGCTCTCACTTCCTGCACGTTCTCCTCAACACAGTGGTTTTCAGATTGACATGCTTTTTAGACATTGCAGCTGTGTTGATGTGACAAAGAGAACAGGGCCTCTGTGGTGGTCATGTCTGTGGCTATGAAGTCAGCTGCCCTGTTAGTGTGGTTTCCTGAGCTCCGGAAAAACCTTCTGATCTGTCCCACCGCACCTTTACAAACACCACTCTGAGTTAATGCCTGTGTTACTTTTCGTTAGGGATTGACTGAGGGGTCATTCCGCCTCATTTCACTGACTGCCCCTCGTCTGGCCATCTATTTAAAAAAACAAACAAACTGGTGAATACTGATTGAGTTGACCATGTGTAAAATCTGGGATCATAGGTTACCTTACTTTTAGTTTAGTTAAAAATCCTTAATTTTGTCAGTTTTCTTCACGCCAATGTGTGGCGCAATGTTTGAAGTGACAAATAATGT